GATATTGCATTTTTTCAAACTTCATGTAAATGTAGGATAACTGCATATTTTATACAGAAATAACACGCAGATAAGTTGTTGACAGTTAACAGTTAATCAATCAGAAATAATTTTAATTTTGTCACGTGTCCGGAAATAATTACGTCAAAAGTTTTGCCGCTTTTTTAGGCAAGGCTAAGCTTCTATTGTAGAGCACAAATTTGTAAGGCTAACAACCATCGATTACGTATTAAAATATATATAATTAAGAAGTGAATGTGAAGAAGACATCGCCTGCTGAAGATATATATAGATTATTTTCTACTAGTGGATTTGAATTATTTTTGGCTATTCAATGAAGTGACTATTTAAAAAAAACATATAAATATATAACACTTATAGATATTGACCTTGTCCATGTAACCAAAAATGCTTTGGTGAAAAAGGGTTAGAAAAATGTTTGTGTGTCTGGCAGCCGCCATTGTACTTTTAACATTTTTTTAACCATAAGTCTATGTTAGTATTATATTGCTTTTCTTTCATATTTTAATATAAATGAAATGAAAGTAAAGGCTTGGCTGTAATTACATTTTTTGTATTTAGTTCATAAACGTAGAGGAAGGTTATGTGACACGGGAAGCCAAACGAAAAAGAGAGAATTAATAGTCGCGTAGCTGCTTTCTCTCTTAAGATATGGGACAATAAAAAAACAATTTCTCGTTTGTAATCTAATTGCTCGTTTGCTAATCGGCTAGCATAAATATAAAGAACAATTATTGCAGATACGATATTATTATAGTATTCATGATAGTAAGTTTTGACTCATTTAACAACAAATTATTACTTGTTTCACCACTAACGAAGCAGTCCGGGGAACTCTAACCCAAGATGAAATGATAATTAGGACGTTTTCATTCTGTTTGATAAAACGCGGCGGAAAGCCAGGCTACCGCAGTGCCATTATTAATGGGTACTTTCCCACGCTCACCTCACCACAACTGACTCATAGATAAAGTAAAACTAAAGGTATTTCCTCAATCTTAGTTCAAATGTGTAGGGAAATGAAGTTTTTAAATAGTTTTACGCAGTTATATTAATTACGAAAACGAATGATAGGAACTCAAAGTTTTATTAAATTGATATCTATAATTATTTTCAAGTCTGTTTATTTAAATGTTTTAAGAGATAGTAATATAATATCATTTTTCGCAATAAGCACACCTTACAAACACCTTATCAAAAACCCGTGTAAATTGTTATTTCATAAGAATTATGAGTCGGTATTTCCATTTTTGCGCATATTTTTTATAACTTAATCGGTTATAAAAGGCTGCTTTGTATTATAAAAATGAGTTTTCCGATAATACTATTAATTTTTAAGTTAATTTGTTCCGATTTCTTTAAATATTATTATTTTATTGAAGTCCGTCATTTATATTTACCTGATTTTAAAAATTATTTTTGGATTGGGTTAGGCTATGTGGTTTTATTTTTTATTGGTGATTTGGATTGGGCCTTGGACGCCACATATTAATAAAAGAACTTCTTACAAGCAAATTTAAAATTTATAGTGAGTAAGATAATAAGTCAATTTTGATTTTTTTGAGTACCTAAAAATTAAAAATATTAGTAAATAATGTACTAAAACGTTCTAGGGCATTCGAAACTATTGGCTCTAACTTTTATTGTCTTGAATTAATATGCAGGAACGTAATCTGCGGCTTTAGGTCAAATTCCCATTTTATTAGACTCTGGCAGTCAGAAATAGCACAGTATTTTTCTAGAAGAAGAAGAAGTGTGTTTTTTTAAACAAATTGCGTGTTTTTGAGACTGATCTAAGGATTGCGTTTAAATCTATTATAAGAAAGACTCGATAACACTGCTAGCTCTACTCTATAGAATTTCAATCATAGTCAAATGGTTGATGGTTCAACTTGTGACCCAGCAGGGACCAGCTGGGTCCATGCATTATTCATATTCGGAATTGCACCAATTATTTTGAGGCTTAAAATCTGAACTAAAATAAACAATATTCTAATGAAATTATTAATGTAAACAAATTATTTATTCAATATTATTACAAGTTATTTATTAAAAGTTTTAAAAGCATGACACCGACGTGATTTAGTTAATTTCTAGGTTTCTCCATTCCCTGCTATGGAAAAGAAAATAAAAAAGTTGCGGTTCTTTTGTAGTCTCTGAATAGAAAAATAATGAAAGAATAAGAAAATTTAGTAAGTGTTTATTTAAAAAAAATCCGATCTTTATATAGCTCGTATGTTGATGAATTGAAATTAAAAAGACTATTATACGACGTAGTTAGTGTTCCTAAATATAAAAAAAACTCGGAAAAAAAAATCTGTCAGGCTGCCGACTGAGATATGTAAAGTGAGCTAGGTTTTAAGCATTTTGGCCTGGGAATGTTTGATGACGAGCCACGCGGTCGTTGAAAAGGATAATATTAATTGCCATGGGAGCATTCCTCATTCGGTGCACGCACGCTTCGGTTTCTGTGTTTTCCTTCATTGAATTGGTAATAAGTTAATTGTTGAACGCACGTCCGGTGAGTCTATTAAATAGAAAATTACAAAAGTATCCAAAGTGTGTACACGTGCTTTGATTTTATTTAAACGCTCTCGAAGTTTTGGCGCACATTTCAACTTGATAATTTCAAATTGCTTATCGTAAAAATTCTTCGGCTGTTTTCATATAGTTCAAGTAAGAAACAAAATTTCAATGAAATTACACGAATTTAAGTGATTTAAAAGCGATTTAAGAACGAATGTTGCATAATATTATCTTTAGAAATTTAATAAGAATTTTCTTAGTGGAAATTTAATATTACCTCACCATTGTAACTTTTTATCCAGTTTGCCTTGACTTAGCAGCCTTCGTGGAATATCAAATATTTATCTTTAAGATCAGCAGTACATTAGTATATAACTGTACGCACAGAATATGTATTTGCGATGTGTTGCGACAACAAGCCTATTTTTTTATTAACGAAAAACAAAACCGCTATTAATGAAAAAAAAAACTATCTCACTGTATTCATTTTATAATTGATTTGAAAATATGTAATCATATGGGACCACATGGGAAGCACCAGCTTTCTAATAAAAAATTAATCTTCAAAATCGGTACACTCAGTCGAAAGTTCTGAGGTAACACATAAAAAAAATTGAGAACGTCTTTTTTTGAAGTTCGTTGAAAAAGAAAAAATATCGTCATTTCTTCGGTGACATTTTAAGCGATCCATAGTCAAAAATTAATACCGAACTCTATTTGTCAACTGGAATGGTTAAGTGAATGCTAAACTGTGGCCGGTAAAAAAAGGATGTAATGTGTACACATATCGGACTATTTGCGTATATAAGAACGACATTGCCTCAGGGTATCTTTAGAGTAAACATCGTTGGATCGACCGGCCGTCTCGGCCACTGGCCCACATACCCGGTGTCTGTTCAATCTTGCGTAACGCACAATCTATTAGATAATGGCCTCTACAACGCGCCGCCATTAATCGAGCAAAGAACACCAGAGCACTGAACCATTGACGACATTCAACGTTCACGTTCCATTTTTAATAACGCTTTCTTTTTCTGGTTGCACCATTATCGGTGCTTGGATTTGGCAAAAAAAAACTCCCATCTTTACCTCTTGCGGATGTCCCAAGTGAATGGTGATGACACTGTACTATATCGTAGCAAATCATGAAAACGGATTGTTGAACGCCTTGGGTTTCGAACCTATAACCTAAATTAGTCAACGTCCTAGGTATAACATCATTTACTATTTAAAAAAATAGAATAGTGCCGAGATAACGTGTGGAGTTACGATAATTGAACACTTATTACAATCACGTTTAAAAAGTAATAAACTGTCACATTCAATAAATTCTCTGAACGTAATGTTTTATTGAGGCAAATAAGATTATATTTTAGTATGTTTATAGCAGTGGGTTATTTAATCTGTATGCAAGTTTTCATGCTGTGTCAATAATCGTATTAATGTGTTTTTCTATTATTGCAACTTGTTATTTATAAGATCGGACATGATTGTTTTCAACTTGGAATTTATATTTTTAATACATCTATCATAAAAGTAATAAACGTGCCAAATCATGTTTTACGTTTTGAGCACATTTATTATGAATGAATATAATTGTAATAATTTTATCATAATATGTGAAGACATTTTTAATTTTTAAATACTAACTTGGAAGACGATGCACTAGCAAAAAAGGCTGAATTATATAAGGTTTCGCAACCGTACAAATTACATGAGAAAATTATACATGTATCCAATTTAATGCCTTCCAGCACTTAATATGTTCAGGTTCTTTTGACGGACGACAGATTAATACAAATCTCTTATATGGACACAATGTACCTTGGAAAGATTTCCTTGAAATAATTATTTTTTTCAAATGGAAGAAGTTTAAAATATTGTATCAATTTGAATCCGGAAAAATGGTTTCATATAAAAACTCGACAAAATTCTGAACCACTTAATAGTTTTCGCACATATGCAAGAAATTAATAATAGATACATCCATGCAACAAATTATTAATAATCAATTCAAATTTATATTACATTACAAATGAATTGGAATATATGGAAATAAAAAAAATCGGATCTTATTTATTGGATCTGATACAAACTAAAGGCTATGCCTATTTATTTCAATTTATTTTTATATACACGGAACAGTATGTTAATTTACAGCATTCAATATTGTAATATAACAAGTTCATGCCGTTATCTGTATATCAACTAACAGTTCCATTTTAAGATGTTATATAAATATAATACAATAGACACGACAGTGTCCCAATGAATCATCAGAAGCGTTATACTGATCTACGCCAACATAGGTTTCCAATCCGCCCCCGGTTCCGTCTAGAACTCCGGTAAAGCTAACCTTAACCTGGGCTTCACACATTACAAAATGTTTACATATCTAAATCGCTTCTATTTGCGATGCGAATAGTATTGCTTATAGAAATCTAAGTACTCACTCTGCAAATAGTCGACATTCTCCTGGACCTCAGGCAGCAGATGGAGGAAGGTGGTCGACAGTAGAACTCCGCCGCCGAAGGATAACAGGGACATCACCACTCGGTTCTTCGACTTCAGATTCCCCGCGTCGTCAGCCGAGATCCATTGGAAGCGCTTCGCAAGGAACAACGGCGCAATGCCGCATATCATGGACGCGCAGAAGAGGACCACCATGGAGACCCCCTTCGCTACGACCACTCCCTCGGTGTTGTCGCCATGGTCGTGGCCGTGACCGTGTCTCGGGAGGAGGTGTTCCATTCTGCTCGTGCTTCTTGCGGGGGTGGGCTGAAAGTGGACAGCGAGAAGGGCTCGGGCCCTTTTATACCTCAGCTCGGTATCAGCTAGCTGCGCGTGCGCCGTGTCGGAGCGACGCGCCGATACTACTCTTGATAGCGGACACTCGACTCTGTCGGTTCGTTACACTCCCTCGTAGCCTGCGCGTACAAACGCATCGAAGCCTTGGCGGTTGGAATTAAATCGATTGTCAATGGCTGCTCGATTGGAGTTAGAATTTTAAAAAATTTGACTATTTTGTGATATGTGATTGCGGACAGTTTCGAGGAACGGCGTGTTATTTGCCGATAAATTTATCGATAAATCCTTGGAAATGTTCTTAACTGAAGTTAGTCTAATTGGCGATATGCTGTGAGTCTGTAAGAAGTATGACGATGAGCCTCTTCTCTCCATCTCTTTCGTTTCCTTCCCTTTGTTGACGACATTCCTCACGTTCAGACGAAGGAGTTTGCCTTTTCAATTGTAATACTAGCGATGTATAGCGAAGAATTAGTCAACGTAGTGTAGGATGAACATCCCCCTAGAAGGAGTGACGATCTGTTTGTACTGCAGTGGACTCGAACAATTAGAAATGATGATGATTGGCAAGAAGAAGAGCAATTCGTTAACGTCAATTTTCAGATTAGAGTAGAGTTCAATATGATTTTATCAAGGCAATAGTAAATAGGCTCTTACACAACCAATGCGTTTGGTACCTAGGCTCACACTGTCTAGTTTACGAGCAAAAATACTCAACTGGTTTCTTATATAGGTACTTCTTAATTTTTCATACTCTATAGCATATTCACGGTTTAAAAAATCAAATTTTGTAGCTATTTTATATTTTATGACGGTGGTGCAGTTTGATTCCCCGCGGGATAAGTATCTATGTGACCCACATAAATTCGTTCCAGATTAGAGTGTCCCCAGAGAGGGGGAAGACATCAGGAAGGCGGCTGGTCATAAAACCTAGCCGAAACCATTTACATTATTCAAATGCCTAGGAGGGATAAGAACTGGAGGCTAATGATATTGAATCGTAGCTATTGATAAAGTCAGTCTCTTAAATGTGTGGGTAGCCAGAATTTTAAGTAAAGTAAGTATAGTACCAAGCTCTAAATGCACCCATACACCTACACGTACCCACTGCTGGGCAAAGCCCTACTCTCAACAGAGGGTATTAGGACATAGTCCACCACACGACCCCACAGCGGATTGGCGAACTTTACATATTTTCGAAATATTTTTTTATTATTTCGCAAATGTGCAGGTTTCCTCACGATGTTTTCTTTTACCGCTGAGCACGGGATGATTAACAATTTCGTTGGTGCCGGCACCAGTCGCTCAGGTTGCTCGAGTATATTGAGTTAAAAGCGAGCGCCCGGATGAGCTATCCAGGCAATGAAGGTAAGTAAGGTAAATTATAAGGTACACAGAAAAATGTATGGTTTTGTAATTTATCGCTTGTTCTATTATTTTCCGTTCCCTAGACAATAGATGATGATTCGAAACATGGAAAATTTAAAAACAAAATTAAACACTATAAAATATGTTTTTATTTAACTCGGGTCTGTCGTATAAATTTTCATACATAATTATGTGATAAACACAACATTCATTATTGACTAAATGTAGGTATTGTTATTGATTTAGTTGCTGATTGTTATAGTATTGTTTTCATCACTGTGACAACGATGGATATAACATGACTTAGAACGTGAGTTCTAATAAACGGACGAAAAGTGGAACTTGACCAATGTCTTACTTAATTAAATAAAGAATTGAGAGAGATGAATGATGAGAATTAAGACAGTGATTTTATGCTCAGATTAGAGATACTTGGCTTGGCACCAATTTTGTTGGAAGTTAGGTTATACAGGTTAGGTTTTCAAAATTTGATTATATTGTTTTTAGCATTATTATATATAAACTTTTTATTGCTAATAGAGATTTTTGAAGTCGGTTCTTTTTTTTGATAAAAAAAACTTTTTTGACTTTCAGATATAAATGTGTAAACATTGGCGCCTTTATTCATGCTCAAAAAATTCCGTAGGATTTAGGGCAAGATAAAGTTATCTATATATTAGGAGATAATTTTATTTTTTAATGATAATCTGCGAAAAATAAGACAGTGGTTCATTTATTTAAAAAATTATTGTTTACAACTCAACTTAAGGCTAAACAAACAACTGTATAGTTTATGAAATATTTCCAGATCTTATGAAATTTAGCAAGATAATCCCTGTCTTAAAAAGTAGGGTTAAAAATGATCCAGGCAACGATAGACCTATTTCCATATTGCCATCTCTAAGTAAAATTTTTGAAAAAGTAATTTCAAATCAGTTCTTAGTACATTTTAATATGCACAAAATTTTTCCCGATGAGCACTATGGATTCACTAAAGGCAGATCGACAATAGATGCAAGCTTCGCACTTATCAAGCATATTTATAACGCCTGGGAAAGGTCACAAGATGCACTAGGTGTCTTCTGCGACCTTTAAAAAGCCTTCGACTGCGTAGACCACATAACCCTCCTTCGCAAGCTAGATTTTCATGGAATTCGTGACAGTGTCTTTAATCTCATTGCCTTACCTTATGTTATTAGTAATAGAATTCAAAAAGTATCGATAAATTAAGTTAATTCCCCCATGAAAATGGGTGTCTCACAAGGATCAATCTTGGGCCTATTATTATTTCTGGTACATATAAATGATCCCCCCTCTTATGCCAGTGAGTTGTGTAATGTTGTTGTGTTTAAGGTTGACCGAAATTTATCAAATTATGCCGACGTGAATGGTTCACTTTCGCATATCCTCCACTGGTTTACCATAAATAATATGGTATTAAACGCCAAAAAAACTAAATGTATTCTTTTTAATTCTTCCTAGTGTAAGAAGGCAAAGTTTTAGTTTATTATTAAATAACGTATCCCTTAATCCTGTTGAGTCCGGTGTTTTCTTGGGGATTACAGTAGATTCAAAGCTCCAGTGGAGTCCCCATCTATCATCCCTTGCGAGTAGGCTAATCTCTGCTGTTTTTGCGATTAGGAAGGTTAGGCAGCTAAAAGACATCGACACTGCCAGCCTTGTTTACTTTAGTTATTTTCACAGCATCTTATCGTACAGCATTTTGTTGTGGGATATAAATTCTATATTTGTTCTTACTCAGAGATCTTTTTAAAGAGATTGATATACTCACTGTTGCGTTCTAATATATTTGTTCTAATATATTGAATGTTAGACATAATCTTTATTGTTACCTAAAGAATAGTGACAGAAATAAATTGAATACTAGAATTTAAGGACAAATTAACTATTATATATTGTAAACTAATCGTTTTAAAAAAGAGCAACTGTTGAGTTTCTTGCCGGTTCCTTCTCAACAGAAACTGCTTTCCGAACCAGTGGTAACCAACGATTTTTATGTTTCATAAGAACGCGCAAGCGGCTATGTGAATAAATATATTTTGATTTGATTTGATTTGGTATAAATAGATTATAGAATAAATAATTTTGCCCTTTGTAAGCTTAAATGGCGTCATAGGATTGATACGATAAAATGTAGGAACATTGCAATGCAGCCAGCATTCAATGTTCCTACATTTTATTTTAACAAAGACACCCGGTCAGCTATTGTAAGGATTTTTATATTGCATATTTACTTTGAAGAAGTATGTGTGTCAAGTATTTCACATGTTTCGTCACCGCATGCATTGCACAAGCAACATATGTGTTCGTGGCATCGGCCCTCAGCCGGTTTGAAGTAAATCTCAGAAGTTTGTGATTCCTTTCGCAAAAAGAGTATTAACTATCTTTTAACATATTTGGTAGATAACCGCAGCATTCTTATTGCTTAGCTTCGTTCTTTTTTTTAGTAAGGTTGGTGAACAACGGAACCGTCTCCAAGAATTTTTTTAGCTAGGTTAGATTTTCAAGATTTTATTATATTATATTTAGTGTTATTATAAACTTTTTAGTGCTATTAGAGATTTTTAATGTCGGTTCTTTTTTTTATTAAAAACTTTTATTTTTTTTATTTTTAGTGTTTTTATTTTAATATTTAGGTTATAATAAAATATGAGTAGGTTATTAATAGGTAGTAAAGATGCCAACCGGGACTGAATAAGGGAAACGATTAAAAACAAATCATCACTTCTGCCCTTATCCCACCTAGGTGGGGTTGGCCACCTGCCTGACGTCAACCCTCCTTGGGAAACAAACACCCAGATCCGGAACAATTATATGCGGTTCACACAAATACTGCTCCGTGCGGAAATCGAACCCACGACCGCTGACGCCGAAGCCGACAGCTTAGCAACGGCGCCACCGAGTCATCGATTAAAAACTAATAAAGAAAGACAATCTCTAAGCGTTTCAAATGAGAAGCCTGACTGGCGTGAAAATATATTGTTAAAAAAATCCTGTATGGACATATAGGTTAAACGTCAAAAATTTCTTTGGCTATACATTTAATTTACAAAAATTACCAATCGCGTTGTCGAATTGACAATTTTTGCGATTGGCGCTCAACTCCAATTGCTTTGCGAACTTCAAGGAATACTGTAAAGTTGCAGTTCGAATCTTTATCCAACTGTCAGAAAAATAGATGCTTACAATGAACACCACACATGATAGCCGAGAACGCGACAACAGTATATTAATTGTGTAAATACGCTGTTTTCGCATTTTCAGCTAAATTGATTTCATCTGCATAACCTTTTCGAGTGTACAGCCGTGATGTTATGTGGTTGCGCAAAACAATGCAACAATTATGCCGTAGCAGCAATCGCTACGGTTGATTTGCTTTAATTTTTTGAATGATTTCTCTTGTCTATCTCCGAAACTCAATATCAGATCTATATGAAATTTAAACGGGACTATATCGGTACAAAAACCCTTTCGAAAACAATAACTATATATAATCCTTAATTCCTACTAATATTATAAAGGCGAAAGTTTGTATGTATGGATGGGTGTTTGTTACTCTTTCACGCAAATACTACGGAATGGATTTTAATTAAACTTTACGATAATATAGCTTATACATCAGAATAAGGCATAGGCTATAATTTATATACTTACATATTTTATGTACTTATATCTGTCGTTCTGTCTGAATGTTACGCCTTCAGCCTATTCTACGCAGACGTAGTCGCGGGCAGCAGCTACTATAATTATAGTAATAAAAATATAACGGAGTTATGCCAGAACATAAGCATATAAATAAAATATTAACATCCGAATTTATAACCTCCCTCTTTTTGAAGTCGGTTAAACCAATTTTATTCATCATTCAAAGCAGATATTTATGCTTCAATTTTTAAAAAGAATGTTATAATCGATCATCAATTTTTGAATGGAGATAGATTTATTAAACAACTAGCAAATGTTAACAATTCTAATTTACTCATACTAATAGGATTGAGGAAAACTGCATATTTTCGAAATAATAACAAAAAAAAATTTTTTTTGGAAGATGTGTGAAGTCCGCCAATCCGCAATGGGGCCGAGTGGTGGACTATGCCCTGATACCCTCTGTATACAGCGTGTCGTTACCATCGCGACAATAAATGAACACACGTCTAACGCTACTTGCCAATAATCATAAAAAATATTAACATTAAACAAAATCCATAATTTAAAAAAATATTATTCAAACAGACTAATTAAGTAAAAAAGAAACAAAATTTGTAACACCTATACAACTCGCGCCACAGCGTCGCATTACAAGCCTCTCCTTCTAACAGTATGTTTTGTCTCTTTTAAATTCATTCAACCCATTCATATGCTTTGTGACCTTTACAAATGAACTTTACGTTACAGTTTTATACGTAATGATGTTCTAAAATTGTTTGTTTTGGAAAATTTAATAACTCGGTAAATATTGATGTTTAAAGAATGTAAATGTTTAATACAATTTTAAAAAGTTATCCTCTATATATGTGTTCATTTATTATCGCGGTG